CACTTAACGAACATTATGCTATTGAATTCGCTGAACGAACGAACCAAACCCTACATTGGTATTATTCATCAGATAGGTGCAAAGGTTCTGTTTTATCAAACGAAGACCTACTCAATCATTTACAATCCGTCCATTCCGGCAAAACCAAAGGCCGGCTAGGCAGACTTCCTCTGGTACTGGGAATGCCTGTTCTGCTTGCACAAAATTTCGACGTTGACGATGGGATCGTTAATGGAAGTCGTGGTGTTGTCAAACGAATACGCTACAAGACGGATCGTGAAGGCAGACATTTCTTGACATCGGTTGTGGTCCAAGTACAAGGGTCCAATGAGGAATCAATGCCGCATTTAAAACCATACGAGGTTCCGCTGTTAAGCGATTCGATAGACCTAACTTTTCAAGGCAATCGAAACATGCGCGGCAATGTCACTATCAGACGAACTCAGGTGCCCATTGTACCCGCATTCGCAATGACAGCTCACCATTCCCAAGGCCAAACATTATCTCAAGTAATTGTAGATGTTCAGTCTTGTAGAGGATCAGAATCACCGTACGTTATGTTGTCCCGAGTCACGTTGTTGGAGGGACTGTTGATTCTAAGGCCATTTTCCAAAACGAAGATTTCTTGCAATATATCAGAAGATCTTTGATTAGAGAATCGACGGTTGCGAGAAATTATGTTTAAAACCGTCATGAAGCATTCGAGGTCTTATCAGTGCCCCCCTAATTCCTGCAGGAATCCGGTCATTCCGGTGGATTCCGGAGGAATGAAATTTGGCAGGGAGGCCTGCCATTTTCATCATTCCGGTGCCTTACCAATCCGGCGGAATTTGGGCATTCCGGAATTGACACCAGAATGATCCGCGGAATGCACAGGAACGGAATGCAACGGAATCCGGTCCTTTGTTTGTTTATTTTACTTGTGTTACCAAACAAAGGCAACGTTACCAAACAAATGCAACACCATTCCTTTCCACCACCACCACCCATCCTCTTCCCCACCCTCACGACAGTCACGATAAACCGACGACGCCACGCCACCCACGACGACGACGACAACCCCACATGACCCCACAACGGCGACGACCACCAAGCGACGAACAGCAACAACCACCGCCAGTGACGTGGCAACCAAACGGACGACAACAACAACACCACCGCTATGCACGAGCACCCACCACCATCCAGACGGCATCCACCACCATCCACGAGTGCCCACCACGACGACCACGTGAACGCCGCAACGCCACGTCACAAATCAAACAAGCCCCCCACGGCACGATGGCAACGACGCCCACGACAACAACGACGTCCACGGCTACGACGACGACACGCGACAACGACAACGCGACAACGACAACGCGACAACGACAACACGACAACGACCACGCAACAACGACCACGCAACAACGACAATGCGACGACGTCCACGCGACGACGTCCACAACTACGACGACGGCACACGACGACGTCCACGCAACAACGACAACGCGACGACGACCACACGACGACGACAACGCGATGACGACCACGCGACGACACAGGATGACGACGTCGATGGACGACGAGGCCCAGCACTACCCCCTTCCCCTTTATTATCACACCCCCACACCACTCCCTGTCCCTTCCCTCGATCCCTTCC